TGTGTCACTGATTACCCCCCAACCCCGCAGCCTCCTTTGCTTGATTCAATAACTACTGTGTATTTATATTTTAAAAAAGAAAAAAATTCTTTTCAAGCCTTTTTAATTCATTTTTTATCTATACAATATATTTACTATTGTGGTCAGAGGTTTTTCTTTGGTTGAATTTATCTTCAGTGTTAGAAAACTGAATAAACTACATACTTGTAATTTCTCTAAGATTCTTTCATTTATGTATACAGTATGTGATGTTTAAATCAGGGCAAGCACATCTGTCTCCTAAAACATTTTTCTTTGTATTGTGAAATTATTAAAGGTCTTTTCTATTATATTTTTTAAAAAATAAATCATCAGTACGCATACACGTATTACAGTGCATTTAGATAACTATAACAATGTCATTGATCAACCCTTTCCAATCTCTTTACACAACTCTACTCTGCTTGGTAACTGCTAACTACCATTTTCCTCTTGACTTCTATAAGATTCACTTGGTCAATTCTGTTTTTAATTATTTGAAGTAACTCATTACTATTTTCTACAATTGAAATAATAATTTATATTTCCATCAACAGTCTACAATGTTTCCTTATGCCTACTAATACTTGGTAATTTTTACCTTTTGATAACAGCTATTGTTACTGAAAGTGCAATTTCATTATAGTTTTAGCTGGTATTTGCTTTGTGATTAGTGATATTGAGTATTTACAACGTATCTTTGCAGTATTTGTATATCTTTTGAGAAATTTTAGAATTTTGTGTTACTAACATACTAAATAGAAGTTTATAATAATAGATAATTTTGATAATGTAATTTTGAAATGGTGCTATGCACAGTGTTATAAGAAACATCATAAAGGGGCACAAATATACTTTTTTCTGTTTTATATCTTTTATAAAATGGAATAAAGTAAAGGAAGTAATTCATAACTATATTCATTAAAGATCATGGATATATATATATATATATATATATATATATATATATCCATGTTTTTAGTGTTTTTAGTATAATTTCATTCCTATGATATGTAGTTACCTTCCCCCATAAGAACTAGCATCTCAGCTAATTTTATATGAATGTGAAATATCACCACCGACCGAATCTTTTTGGTTAAAGTTCAATGAATTCATTAAAATATCAGAATTAATCTATAAATATATAATCAATGAATTCATTAAAATATCAGAATTAATCTATAAATATATAATTAATAAATTTTGTGCTTTGATTCCTAGAAAAACATATACCACAACTGTAGGAGTAAGTTGATATAACTATGAAATTTTAGGAGGGAAAAAAACGAAAGAGCACAAGCCTATAATTTTTGGAAGAAATGAGGAACTATAATTTAAGTTTAGTAAGTAGCTTGTTAGGAATTATATTTCTCTAGACTTCTGATATATTGCCAGTGAGACAGATATTTACAAGTTCAATGAAATACACATGCAACACGTTTATCTATGATATATATATATATATATATGTATATATATATATATATATATTTCACAAAAATTCACTTTAGAAGATAACAAACATAATTCTTATTTTCTTCTGAAAAAAATGTAGTTTCTAAGAGCCTTACATTTATTGAAATCCCAGGATACTCAATAGTTTTTAAAGGCAGTACCTTATTTAAATCAAATGTTTTGTTTAAAGTCTTGTACGTTGAAAAGCAGCATTAGTATTTCTACTAAAATTATACATTTCATTCTTACCCCATATCTAACAAATGAGATATTCTGGGACTTTCTAGGAGATTGTAAGTTATTGATTTTTAGAACCAACAGTACAAGACTATTTACAACTGTTTAGATTCACAAGTCCTAGAGGTAATAAAAAGAGTTTCTCAGTGAAGGAAATGATCAGTTAACTACGTTCAGGTCAATTTTTTTTTCATTTCTAAGTAAATCTTAATTTATTGTTGTTTTCAATTTTTTGTTTGTGTGTTTGTTGTTGGTGTGGTGTGTGAGTATCAGAAATCAAACTTACCATCTCGGGCTTGCCTGGGAGGCGCTGTGCCACTGAGTTATATCCCTGGCCCCCTAATTTTTTTTTTTTTTCCTGCTACATGTGTGCCTCATTTGTAAGATATTCGTAGCTACACACTGGCAGACTCATGACTCGTTCTATAAGAAGGACTTGTAGCAAAATTCATTATTTTGTGTAAATATTTTCCTTACTTCCCTCCATCTGAAAACTCTAATTACCTTCAAATCCTGCATATGCATTATCTCCCTAGAGACACCCCACCTGGGAAGTTAATCAAAAATAATACCACACTGGACTCGGTACTATAGTCCATCATAGCAGTGAGTCTTTGTAGATTCCAGCATTCGTCATAATCTCAGTTTTTAAAACTTTAACTTTATGTCTTTCTTTTTTTGATGTTTTTTTTTTCACATCTTGGATTTTATTACTCCTTAGTGCTTATTACTTTCTTTGGGGGGGGGGGAAGAATACAGTCAAATATGGCAAAACAAAGCTGTCAGTCAATACCAAGGATAGACATAGCACATGGTGTAGAACAGAGTACAAGTTTATCAACAATAGTTATCAACATTGTCCCTTGTTTCCTTAAAAAGAATTGTCTATCTTATTAGATATTATAAAGTTGGACAAAACAGTAGAGAACAAGACCAATAAAACTTAGGCATTGTAAACATTACAGGACTTCCAAAGAAGACAATAGTCAAACCAGAATGGATATCTTAGTGAATCCTATTGTCTTCAAAGTAGTTGCCTATGTCTTCAAACTTGATACTATCATATAGAATGGAACAGAGTCTAATCAGTCAACACAAGATCGTGGGAGTATTACAGGACTTCAAAAAAGTTAATAGGAAATCGAAAAGAGTTACTATTTATATATCCTAATTTTTTTGAATTTTTTCTTTAATTAAAGACAAACATAAGAAATGACTAAATAATTTTTTTTTGAAACAATAAGGGGGAGATTGAGATAAAACAGGACATAACAAATAGAGGTCACAGCATGACTGTTTCAACAACCTAGTACTTCACCACCTTATAACCTGACTTAATAGTAGTTACCATAGTGTCTTTTTCCTTGAAATATTTGGATAAAACTTCATATACTCTAGCTTCAAATATTTTCATATCAAGAAGCCCAGAATAAAGCCTTTCTAATTAATGAGTGAAAACTTTATAAGGCTTCAAGGCCACCTAATGGGGAATCATGATTACCACATATTTTTATATATTTGAATCATTATTTACATTAGGGAAACTATTCGGTATTCACACATGCGAGATTGATTTATTTCACTAATGAGTATGGTCTCAAGCTGCGCCCATTTATTGATAAATATCTCAATGTGATCCTTCTTTATAGCTGAATAATACTCCATTGTATAGAAATACCACAACTTTTTTATCCATTCCTCAGTTGATGGGCACTTGGGTTGTTTCCAAGATCTGGCGATTACAAATTGTGCTGCTATAAACATAGGTGCACATATATCACTGTGGTATGATGCTTTCAGTTCTTCTGGGAATATGCCTAGAAGTGGAATAGCTGGAATAAATGGGATTTCCAGTCCCAACTTTTTGAGAAATCTCCAGACAGATCTCCACAAAGGCTGTACCAGTCTACACTCCCACCAGCAGTGCAGGAGAATTCCTTTTTCCCCACAGCCTCTCCAGCATTTGTTGTTGGTTTTCTTGATCCTGGCCATTCTTTCAGGAGTGAGATGGTATCTCAGTGTGGTTTTAATTTGCATTTCTCTAATGACCAATGATGATGAGCATTTTTTCATGTATTTATTTGCCATTTGCATTTCTTCATCTGAGAATTGCATATTCATCTCAGATGCCCATTTTTGGATTGTATCTTTGAATTTCGGAGGTCTGAGTTTCTTTAATTCTTTATATGCTTTAGACAAGAGGCCCTTGTCTGAGAGAGAGTTCACTAAAATCTTTTCCCAGTTTGTGGGTTTTCTTTTCACTAGGCTGGAGATTTCTGTTTTTGATGTTTTTTTTAAAAAAACTTGAAGATGAACATCATTTGGGCATGGACTGTACTAGTCTCATTCATAAATGAAATCCTGTGCCTCATATGACATCATTTAGTTTTGGGAGATATGCAAATACAGTATACGTGTGAAACATATAAGATCAAGATTTTAGTTCGCTAACTAATGACTTTAAAATACTCTTGTAACTATTAATCCAGTAAAATGAGGCCTCCCTTGTGAGAAGTGTTTAAGATTTTTATCAGACCTCTCCCAGGGAAAATTCTGTATGTTTGATATCAAGAGATCCAGTTCACCACAGTTCTTTTATAAATTATTAAGCTGCTTTTAGTCAATGTAAATATGTAAGTCTTTTTAATGTATAAATCCTCTATTGCTTTAATTTTCCAAATCCATCTGTGGCCTTTTTCTCTCTTAAGATAGTTCCAGGCAAGATGAATTTGAGTTTCAGAGCATGCTATAAGCAATTATTACTGTGAAAAACCAAATGAAAATGGGTAAAAACTATTTTCTCTTTTGACCAGTTTTTAAACGCTTTTTTTTTTGCAACTCTATGACATCACTGAGGTTTTATATGTTCCTGCTCTAAAGTGAATAGAGTATCACTCTGAGTATTAGAAATAAATTACTTCATTTCAGTTTCCCAAAGAAAATGATTATCTTAGTTTTTGTTTTCTTTTTTTGCAGGTGAGTAACCACACATTCATATTCTATGCATAATGAAATTATTTTTTATAGATACATCTTTCCTCAGGAAAAATATGTCAGTGGAAGCTGTGCACTTTTAAGTGGCTTATTTTTCCACTCTACGACTTGGCTTTAAGTATTCATTCCAGTTAAATAAATTATGAAAATTATTTTTCCTACTCATAGCACAAGACGTTATTACAAGCTTGAGTCATTGTAATGTAGTGACCTCAGCTAAACTACAACTGAACTTTTCAAATGAAAACATTCAGATAGATTGTACATTCATGAATAAAAATAAATTTGCTTTTCAGAGAGTTTGGCCGCTGGAAAGTAAATAACCTTGCAGTTGAAAGAAGAAATTTCCTTGGCTCCCCTCTGCCTCTTGCCCCTGAATTCTTCCGCAACATAAGACTTTTGGGACGTCGACCTACCCTTCAGCAAATCACAGAAAATCTTATCAAGAAATATGGGACTCATTTCTTGCTATCTGCTACGCTGGGAGGTACGACTCTTTGAAAATATTTGTGACTGTCTCATTGTACATAGTGCTGCAGAGTCATTTAGAAATGTCAATTAATCCAGATAGCCACAGCTTGAGTAATTTGAGAATTCATAATTGCATTTATCCAACACATTTACTGAGAGCTCACATCATGAGATGGAGGAGGATCACTTACTTTCTCTCTGAAAGGTATAACCAAATCTACACTAAGTGTAGGTATATTTACCCTGTGTGATACATAATGATATGGTAAATTTTGTTTTTAAAATAGATTAATTAGCATTTATAAGAGAGAATGATCATTTTTGGTTACAGAAAGCAAGAAATATTTCTTGGAGTAAATATTGTAGATGGATAATTATGTATTTTAGCACAATTTTGCTATTTTTCATTGAGATTGATCTATGATATATAGAGAAAGACATAAATGCTGTATCAATTATAATGTATAATGTGAAAACATAGGTTTAACAATGTCGTTTTTAAAAATTAATTGGTGAATTTCTGTAAGTTAGGAATACTGTTGATTAATTTATGTAAATGCGGGCTTATCGTGGTGGTGTATAATTCAGGATTTTGAATACACTTAAATGTTATTTGGGAGGTAGTATGCAACAATAAAAATACATTTTCTATTTTCAAGTTTAAAAATATCTGAGTTGTATATGTGCAGTTTCACACACAATTCCAAGTACTATACACTTGCATTTTCTGTTTGGAAATCAATGTTACACTTTACTAATAAAATTGGATAGAAACGCTATGAAAACAGAGATTTCCCCACTTGTCAATTTCTTAGTAAGTCTACAGGAGACTGATTTGTATCAATGCTATGCTGTCTTGAATGCTTTCTTTCTTTTCATTTCTTAGCCTTCCAAGGTGAGTCTTTTTATTTCCTGTAACTGCTTGTCATATCTGTTGGAAAATCATGCGGATTCAAACTCCAGAATAATCCTTAGCCAGACTCTTCCCTCATTGTCTTCCTTGAAATGCCTAGACCTCGTCACCATGATTTCTGTATCTGTAGCCCTCCAATGGTTCAGGCTCACACAGGTCTTTTTAAAACCCATGCCAGGTCATATTTGCTGTTTTAATTAAAACCGAAAAATATCCACTTAAGAACTAAACGTCTTGCTCCTACATTATTGACTTAATGCTAGTTTTCATACCAGACCTCATACTTGTGTCTTTCTCAGTTTCTGTTTTTAGCTAGAATAGCCCACACAGTTTTCTACCTAAATGTTATCATATATAAAAGCCTCGTTTCTCAGCAATAATACCCAGGAAATTCCACTATCCTTTGTTCTGCTTTATTGTTATAATCTTCCTTTGTATTAGTATTTTTAAATTTGTCTATGTAAGTGCATAGTAGTTTTTATCCATTTCTCTGTGCATTTTCTATTAAATGGAAACCTGTATTTGTGATCCTAATTTTCCATGGGTATAATAGTGGTCTGTATGCACTAGGTTTTCAAATATATTTAGTGAATAAGAAAATTCATACCCTTCTAGGTGACAGAGATTATTCAGTTTACTAGATTAAAGTAACATATTATAATCCTTAACTAGAATAACTAAATATCTAAAACAGAAAGAATACTGAATGACAGAAACTAGTGCTGAAATCCAAAAGTGGATCAATTTCCCTAATAACTACACAGAATGGGAGAGATGTTGGACCCAAGAAATGCATATGAATTTATCAAGAGTCTGAAAAAGGATTAGACCCCTGGGTACATTAGTGAAATGTTAAGTCTGCCATATAATGTCAGAAAACTAAAGACAAAAGGTGTAGGATATAGAAATAAATAAGTTTGGCTAGATGTACATGTTGTCTGCCTTTTCTCTTGTTACAAAAATGAGTCATAAATGAATAACAGAATAAAGGTATCAAACGTTGTGCTATTGTATTCTAATACCTTTTTGTGTAACAACTGAGATAATTTTACTTTTACTAGAAAGAAAATAGAATCTGGGTTATAGGTATGAGATGGTTAGTATAGATCTAAAATAATGTTTTTAACAAAATCTTTGGAATAATTGAAACAAAGATCAAGTTTTATTGTAATTGAATAGATAGCCAAGCATTATAAAATATCACAATAATTATGATTTTGTCATAGCCATGTCTCTTTGGCTGAGTATTGACAATTATTGTAAATGAAATAATATCTGAACTTTGAGAATTATTTTCATAAACTTTTTAAAATAGTTGAGAGATTTTGCAAGCCCCATTAGTCTCTGTTACTATACTGCTAACAAAACAAAGTGCTTTGAAGAATTCCAGAAAATAAAACATAGTTGCCAGATAATAAAGAAGGAAGAGGCAGATGAAAGTCCCCAAAAAAGGAAACAAAAAGTAGGTATGGATCTCATTGATATCTCTGAGATCTAGAAAAAAATTTCAGTAAACCTTTAATGAATTTCTTACTGTTGTATTATAAATACCACATTGTAGCTCTTTGGTTAGTTTTTGTTTCACACAGTTTTTTTGTGTTATTGCTGTTTTAAATCATATTTTAAACCATATGAAGCATGTGGAATCAAATCACTTTAAAGGGTTGAGTATTGTAATCTTGGCAACATATATCGTTATTTGCTCATGACATCATCTTGTATATAGAGAATCTCAAAATCTCCACTAACAATAAATATGAAAAAGTATGTGCTGTTTGAACTAATCAACAAATTCAACAGTTCATGCTCAAAATTAACATAAAAACACATGTTAGTCGAGCTTGGCGACTCGTGTCTGTAATCCCAGCATTTGGGAGGCTGAGACAGGAGGATCATTGTTAGTTAGAGACCAGCTTAGGTTACAAAGTGAGCTCAAGAGAAGCCCAAACTGCATAGTGAGACATTATCTCAACCCCCCCCACACACACACACCACAAATGTTTCTAATGAATAACCAATTTTCTGAAAGGATCAAGAAAGTAATCTTATTTAATATAGTCATAATAAATTAAAATAATGGGAAATAAATTTATCCAAAAGCAGAGAAATATTTTTAATGAAAACTATAGATCATTGGTGATAAGCGTTGAAGAGCATACAATGTAAAGATAACTTATGTTTATGTTTTGGAATAATCAGCATTATTAAAAATGTATTACCTAATGTGATCTACAAATTCACTGGAATTTCTATTAAAATATTAATAATATTTTCACAAAACAAGAAAAATAATTTTTTGAAAGTGTAAAAAAACTCCAAGTAGCAAAAACTACCTTGAACAAAAATAACAAAGCAACTTCAAAATTACAGGAATCAATAATGGCCATGCGCTTTCATAAAATGGTTTTGCTCCACATATTTATAACTTTTCATCCATCTTCTTAAGTAGGTTCTTAAGAATTCACATTTTCACTGATTTTCTATCCTTTGACTATTTTTGTATTTAGTGTTTGAACTATTTGCTACTAAAACTTTTTTCTGTAAATGTTACCTATGTTTCCCTTAATGAATCTCTTTTGAATAATTTTAACAATTTACTTTAAATGAATGAAATCATTAAATAGCTTGCTAATATATAAACTGCCCTCAATTAAAATGTATGCCATGAATATGATTAGGTGATTTAAAAGTCTTGTTATTGTAATTGAACTGATCTCATTTTGAGCTCTACCTTTTTAGCTTATGTATTTTACCTTATTGAACATGAAATTACGTTATCTTATTTTTTAAGAAAAATTGGTGTTTCTGATATTTAACTTGAATGAATTAACGGTCATGAACTCTTTCTCCGTTTCTTTGTATCCCTGTAACTTTATGTTGTTTCCTTTTACTGCTCTCCTAAATGAGTAAAGCCAAGGTATAATTACAATACTAGCAGAGTGAGGTTATTTCATATAGAAAGTTATTATAATAAAGAATCCAGTTAGTTTAGTGCTAGATATTTTCTAAATACTTAAATCTTCACTTAAATTTGAATAGTATTTCAAAACAAGCATAAAACTTAATCAGTATTAAAGAAATGACGTGAGAGTAAATGAAAAATTGCTTTTTTGCTCGAGTTACTTAGCGTGAAATACTATTGACATAGACATAAAACTGTGCATTACATATTTGAAAGCTTTAATAGGATATTTTATAATAGATAAAGCCAGTGATTGAATTATTTTCCTATAAAGAAGATATATTACAAAAATCTTTCTTCAGTACATATCAGTTTGCCTATTTCATTTTATGCTATATAGTCTATTTATCAATATAATAATTCTGCTTACTACTATTTTAGATAATGATATCTAAACTCCATCACTGTTCAAATTTGTAGAAAAAGCTCCTCAATTTAAAGAACCAATCTTGGAAAAAAATTGCAGTCCTGGAAATTATTGACTTCTAGCTATAGAATATATTTCAAGACACTTTTGGCAATATATTTTACTATAACACATTATTTGACAAATTCTGAAAAATCTATCTGTATGCTAAATGTAGAGATGCAAAAAAAAAGAAACAAATAAAAAGAAAAAAGAGAATAAAGAAAGAGAAAGATCAATAGGGAAAATATGACTGTAAGATTATGGAAACTTCATTTGAGTGAAGGAGAGGAAAACCACTGGATTGAAGTTGAAAATCGACATAAATACAATGGACTGAGAATAACAGAAACCAAATATTCATTAATTGTATGAAAATGTTATAACAAAATAGTTACAATAGTTTTAAACTTGCCTCATCCTCATCTCCAGAATTACACTGCCTTACTCACTTGGAGAAGAGCAAAGTGCACGGTCACTCCTAACCATACAACTGAGGGAGATGAAGAAAGGGAGGCTTCCAGGAAACCAGATGCCTGCACCAAGGTGCTTCGTAGACTTGGCAGCAGTGCTGTGGGGCAGAGTGAGAAATCTGCGCTCAGTGAGGGTTGTGTATTTAAAATACCTTCCCTTGTAGAGAAATGCAAGAAAAATACTCCTCTTCTACTAGAAATTTTTAAAATTTGGACAGAATTTTGTTGTGGGAATAAGCAGACAATATATTAGGTTTTTTTT